CGTCTCGAACGTTATCGCCTTCTAGATAGGATAGAGGATCGTTATAATACTATATACGTATCTAAGTATATCGCTTATCTTTATATAGTATTTAATTAACTTCTCTACCGCCTATTCTAGCCCTCGATATATAGTAATCTTCTAAAATATACGCTTTTAAGCGAGCTTCTACTAATATATCTCGATATAATTAAATAGCTCGTTATATATTTTATAAACGTACTAGACTATTAGATTACGAACTATAGCTCCGATTATATTCGTATAGAGAGTAAATAACGTAAGGATATCGATAAGGTATCGTATCTATAGTCGCTTCTCTTCTATTAAGCGAATTAACTTAATATTATAATTACGCTATAATTCTCTATTAAGAAATAGAACGATTTTAGTTATAAACTTATCGATATATATAAGTATATTATATATTAAGTTTTAGCGAGTTATAATATCTTAAATTAGATTTAAGGGGCGATTGCGTAATTAGTAACTTAAGAACTACGAACGCCTCTAGGGACTACTATTAATATATATCGCTAAGTTCCGAATCTAGAAATAGTTAGTAATAGATCCTTATAAAGATATATTAATAATACGAGTATCTTTTCGAATATTACTATAATAGAGCCCGTAGTACTATTAACCGACTCTATATCTATATAGAGATAAGCTAGCGGCTTTAATAGATTCTATTCTATAATCTATACTTCGTTTTTTATTATAATATATAAAGTAGAGAGTAATATCTTAATTACTAGCTAGATTATATATATAAGATACGAGGCCTAAATAAGACCGTTTAATTCTCGGCCGAGAAGATTAGTTATCTTTCGAAGATATCTAAATATAGTACTATTATTTTCCGTATTATTTATAGTAATATAGAGAACCTAATTAGATTAAATACTAATATTCTCTAGCGACGTAAGAAGATATACGTAAAGAGTTTTATCGATTAACTCTTTATATATTAGGGCGAAGTCTACTAAGATCTTCTATAGCTTCTAGTTTACATTAATAAAATAACTATATAATATTAGTTATTATAGTAATCTTTATAATAGTATATATCTTATAATTTCTTAGAAGTATATTTTATTCGGACTTATCTAGTCGTTAATTATAAGTAAGATCTTAGTCTTAGCTAGTAAGAGGCTTATAAGTTAACGCTATCTCTTATTTACTTACTAGTATAGACGTTATTAAGTACTTATTAGTACTAAGAGCTTAAGTCGAGTTATTAAAGCTATAGACGCTATCTTAATTAGTTAATAGAACTCGATATTCTCTAGAGCTCGGAATAGAAGACGTAGTACGGCGATTACTCGTAATATCTAGTTATAGAATTCTTATTAATTAAATAATCGGATCTCTAAAATAAGATAATCTTCTATCTATACTAGTATAAGATAATATATATAGTATTAGATAGTAGAAGATATACCTTTTTCTTAGTAAATAGATACTTAAGATTCGCGTCGAGCTTCTTATTTCTAATATAATTCTTACTAATAAGATATCGACTTAGATAAGAGATATTTATCTTCTTTAGCGTAGGGTAATATAATATTAATCGATATCGAAGATAATATATAAAGAGTATACTATTATACTTTTAAGTATAAAACTATATATTAATCTAGATATCTAATCGCTTACTAGAACTCTTACTAGTAGTCTACGAAACTATAATAATTATATACTTACGAGTCTATAGAGTCTATTTCTACTATTTCGAAAATACTTTATCGTACTCTTCTCTCTATAGAATAAACTATTTATTCTTACGGCGATTAATCGCGCCTATCTAGAATTTCTCTAGATCGAATAGATATTATATAAGTAGATCTTCTATAATATCGTCGATAAGCTCGTTATTATCGAGATCTAGTAATATAGATAGATATAGTATTATCTATTTAAGAATAGACTTAGACGTCTTATTTAGATCGATAAGATTAATCGTTCTAATTATTAATATATAGAAATCC